GATGATCTGTCTAGGTCCCTTCTGACTCATTGATTCTATAGGAGGCGGCCAGACACTTGAGGAGGTACTGCAGGACCTTCCAACAGCGCGGAATGCCTCCAACAGCATCTGAGGAGAGCAGCACTGCATACCGCACTTGGCGGGGTGAGGGGAGAAACGACCCAGGACAAGGGGCTGCAGTCAACCCTGGCCAGACGATGGGTCAGCCCCCAGTGGAATCCTAGGGGTGAAGTGACGCCCTGTTATTCTAGCAGTAGGGCTGGGGAGGAAACCGGACGGGACCTTCCCAACTTATAGTTTGTTTTGGTTCCTTTTGTTTTCCCACTTTTGGAGGGGTTGAGAGGTAGGGTGAGACGATGCAGGCAAGACAGCTCTGCACCATCTTTCTTTTCCTTTTTGGTTTGATTGCTGGTTAAATTTAGAGTCCCAGGTCCAAGACTGCTTTAGGGCAGGTGGAGGCCCTTCTGAAACCAAACAACTAAGTGATTGAGTTAACCCAGGAGGAAGTATTGAGGGCTACAGAGATCGTCAAGCTCAAGAAACACAACATTGTCGGGGGTACGGCTGAGAAGATCTAGGGACCTGCTGAAAGGTTGGCATGAGGTTGGAGTGTAGGGGAGGTGGAGCCCCGTGGACGGCCTCCTGGTGGACTCCCCGCCACAGAGGAGCCCTGGGTGGTTTGCCCCCCCACTGGAATAACATTCAAATTTTTGGCAGAAGAGTCTGCGGGAGGCCACCCGGGTGATAAACAGCTACCACCAGGCTTACAGGAGACAGCAGGACGTCTGCTGCCAGCCATCTGAACTAAGGCTGCACGCAACTGACTGTTTGAAGCCAGGCGGGCACAGCCAATCCAAGCATTATGCAGTTATCTAGTTTGCACATAAGGATAAAACAGCAAAAATCTGGGTGGCAGAGGAGTGAAGATAAGCAAGCAAAAGAAAATTCTGTTAAATTGTCCATGGAAAATATTCCACAATGGCTTTAAATGCCAAGAAGAAAGGAATTTCATTGTATATTACCAGGACATTGTGTTAGGTTTATTGAAGAGAAAGGTACAATCATATCAGCAGAGGTATAACAAGCAGTTTCTACACCCTACACAGCAGGGGCTGCCATTCCTCTGCCCCCTCAATGGGGCTGGTAGCCTGGTCACCTGTCCCTAATCATGCTGCTGCATAAGATAGAAAATCACTTACTAAAAATAGTTAAATCCAGCAAGCAGGGACCAGCCACATAAGTACCATCAGCTACACATCACCATAATTTAAAATGGAATCAGTTTCAGACTATTTGGTTCCCTCTGGCTATTCCACACATAGGGTTCTGCATATTTCCTTTTGTTTTCTTTTTCCTTTCCTAAACAGCAAAGGAATATACAGTATAGTATGCTGAACTATCAACATATGTGGCATTGCACTCTTTCATCTGATTTGTTTCAGACGTAGAGATGGGCACTGCTTACACTACACAATCTGTGTCTAGATATTTTTAAGCATACTTTCAAGTTGTTTCCAAATATATTTTCAGGTAATGAGTCAAAATGGTTTTAGTTTAGTTAACTTGTTTCAAGTACCAAGTCAACTAAACCATTTTCAAGGAAATTAATTTACTTCATTTAGGTGTGAGTGACTCCTACTGACTGATATACTTCTCAGTTCATTCACATCCATAATGCATTACAAAGACCCAGACCAAAAGCTTCTAATTTAGCTAATCATGTAAGCATGCAATTCAGTTCCGTCTCTATTCAATATATACTTAAGTGTTTGTTGATTGGAAATGTACATAAGAATACCCTTAAAGTTAGGCATGTGCTTAAATTTTCTGCTGAGTTGGGACGTAAAAGCAATTTAAATTTAAATTGCTTTTGTTTATGGGATAAAATTGAAAATTAAATATAAATATTTAAATCCATGTGATGGACAGGTTTTAGTTCTTGAGAAGAGGAATTACTATGCCCACATGAGGCTGAGTAATCAGAATTTATACTTCTAGTTAACAGTGGGTGTATCTACATGTACTATTAAGGCAATGAAAAAAAACCCAAAACAGTTTGCACCAGAATCAGCTGCTCCTAGTTGCAGCATCTACACATGCACCTGCGACCACAGCACTTTGATCAGCAGCAGAGCAGCCCTGGGTTGGCAGGGGGCCGCAGGGCTCAGCCCCAGGCACTGGGTGGTGGCGGAGGGGCTGGCTGGGACGTGAGGGTGCTAAAGTGTGGGGCTCAGTGGCATGCAGCCCTAGCACTTTAGCACCCGCATGCCTGTCACCATCTACACTTGCATTTCATCACAGTTAAGTACCCCACCATAGGATAGTACTGCCCCTGACAATACTATCTTATGGCAGAGTTAATTAATTTACTCTCCCCTAATACCAGTGCATGTGTAGACTGTGATGCTTTACTGTGGAGCTAATCAGTCAACTCTGCAGTAAAGTGCATGTGTAGATGCACCCAGCAGACCCAAAAACTAGTGCTGAGTTATTTAAACACCTTTCACACTGGGGTCTGCAAGGGTCCCTCTACACATGCAGGTAGAGGCACAATAGGATTTAATGTGCAAGCCACACAATCATGCCTCCTGCCAGGCCAGACATGCATGGCAGGAGGCATGGCAGGAGGCATGATTGTGGGATCGTGAATGGCAGGCACCAGCAAGAAGCAAGTTCCTATGTTTGAAAGCCCCCAGGGCCAACTATGAGGCTGTGGGGCCACCCTACTCACGCTCACAGCTGGTAGACTGAAGCTGCTGCAATTTCCCAGTCTCCTGGCACAGCCACAGCAGCTGCGTCTGCCAACTGCAGATCTCCCAGCCATGGGGTGTACGGTGTGCTCCATAGTTGGGAGACTGCAGCAGCTGTAGGCACCCTGCCATGGGGGCACTGGCTAAATGTGCAAATTAAAGCTAGATAGAAACCAGCTATAATGTTCTTACACATTTTCCAGCAATAACTTTCTAGCCGATTGTAACTTTAAGGCTCCATAGTTAATTTGCACATGTAGCAAGCCTAAATTGCGCCGTTAACCTGGTAATTGCATAATAGGTGCAACATGTAGGCCTAAGAGTTAACAAATACTGTTCATTTCATATAAAGAGTGTTTCCGTTTCTGTTCTAGGCTTTTCAAAGGCTGGCTACACTTATAAAAGAAGCTGCTTGAAGAGATCAAGAGAAGAACCTTTGGTGAACTTTTCAGGAAACAGTCAATATTTTTACATTGTTTGTAATGAAGTATTCATTAAAAATTACTGCAGACCTCTTGTTCCCCAGAGCTCACAACTCTTTTGAGAACTTCTCTCATACTGTAATTACAGCAACAGAATTTAACTGTGTTGTAATTCTAAATTCAGTCCTAAATTGTATTCCTAATAAAACACAAAAGATTTCAATTGTTGTTTGACTGCAAATGTTTTTCTTTTTATTAATTTTGCCTTTTTTTAAGGTTCTGTTTTTCAGCAAGTAAGTAACTTTATGGCATCCATACCTGGAGCTCATTACCCTAAGCTAATGCATTTTGTACTAAATCATAATGCCTGGTATTAATGAGAATTCAGAAAAGATGACAAAAGATCAATATTAATATTAATTTCAAAGGTGATCACCAAGAAATAGATCTTACATTTTCAGATGGAAATCTGAAATTACTGCAGAGCTAAGGAGAGAATTAATGTAGAGTCTGACCTTGCAAGGTAATAAATGCCTTCAACTCCCATAGAATTGGGAATGGAAAGCACTCACCATCTTGCAGGAGTCTCTCGTCACATTCCAGGATTAATTACCTAAGTTATCTGAGAGCAAATTTACTAATTGATTAATGAACAGCATCTCTAGAGGATCTCTCTTGTGATTTTATTTCCTGGAATAAAAAATTATAAAACAGTGTTGCTAGCATACACATTCTCTATATTGCTTTTCATAGTGTCAAGTAGGCAACAATCTAACTATGGCATAATTCTACCAAAATGTTAAGGACACTAACTTAAATTCCTAAATTCCAGCATGGGCTTGTCATTTCAGAATGTATTTTCAGTCTCTTCTGTTTTAGTGTTTTTCCAGTCCATAAGGAATTATAGATTTACATTTTTCATAATTCTGTGTTTTCTACTATCTTAGCCTTCACACCTTTTATTGAATGCAGTTGTAGGCTATCCAGCTATGAATATACCAAGCCAGCTCCTAACCAGGCTTCTATAAATAACACATACACATCCATTACATATGTGGTCTGAAAAAGGTGCCCTAAATAAAAAAGCATACATGTTTAATTTGTATTTTGAATCACTCGCATCTTAATATCCAGAAGGTTCCTCTATCTGTGAAGAACAGTAGTAGAATTTAGAGGGATCTAGATAGATTGGAAACCTAGGTTACAGGCAACAGAATGAACCTCAATGCAGACAAATACTAGGTACTACACCTAGAGAAGCATAATCAAAAGCACAAATAAAGAATAGGAGGTAACTGGCTGGGTGGCAGCATTGCTGAGAAGGATCCAACAGGTTTAGTGGATCACAGAATCAACAATGAATCAGCAACACAATGTAACTGTAAAAAAAGTGAACATGGTTTTGGCCTGCATATCAATGATACTGTCACTCTACTTGGCACTCCTTCAGTCTTCATGCTCTAAAAGTCCATTGCCTACAGCCAGCCTACTGGAGCCCAGGCACAATGCAGAAAGAATAACCTGAATTTGTGTTTGGTGGCAAAAGTTCAGAGTCATTTATTGTCTCTGAAGACAGAACACTAGTAGGTCTGCATAGCAATCACCCCAACTCATCAAAACTGCCTAGAAACAATAATAAGTGACCTATGTGCAGCCCATGCTCCCCTGAGTAACTATGAGAGGGCAAGTCTCACAACCCCCATATTTATAGCAGATATGCACCCCCCACCACACCCCATCCCTGTGCCAATTCTTATTTCTCTTTGTTGAGATGTCCCTTTTAACTTGTCAACTTAGGATACCTGCAGCTCACCCCCTGCCAACTCTGAGTATCTCCAGCTCATTCTTTGCTGAGTCCAGGCCTCTCTAGCTCACTCCCTACTGAATTTGTGTATCTCCAAGCTTACCCCTTACTGAGCATGGCTCTCTTGTTACCTCTGCCTGACTAACAAGTTCCTACTTCTTACTTCTCAAGTTGCTCAGCTACTGTTTAGTTCTGTTCTCCTTGAATCAGCATTTTTTGCTAACTGCTTTTAATTATCAGGTCATTCAGCAATCCGTGAAGCCTGCTACTCCCAAGATTCTTTGCAGTGCCCCAGCTTAACTATAACTTAGCATAACTACAACCTAGTATAACCAGACTGCTACAATCAGAATGACTAGGTTGTCTTCCCTGTTACTTCCTCTCAATTTATAATATTCTTATTGTTTACAAGAACAGAGCAGAGCATTTCAAATATCATCTACACATTTTCTTAAATATGGTGCTATATTGCTAAAGATTTCCTTTCCATATTAAGTGACTATACACAGTCAAATAACAAAGTTCCTGTGCTCATGATAATTTTCCTTTTTAAAAAGTGGTATTTTGTGTACAGGCAACCCCTGCTTAGCACTCTTAATTGGTTCCTGGAAAACCGAGCATTAAGCGAAACGAGCGTTAAGCAAAACTGAAAGTATTTGATGACCCAAGATGGTGACTGCAAGTGTTTTTAATTACCCAAGATGGCAACTCTGAGCACTATATCAAAATTTGCTAAGCGCTAAATGAAATCAGGTACCAATCTTAAATGAGTGTTATAGCAAAATAGCGCTAAGTGAAACAGCGTTAAGCAGGGGTTGCCTATAATAGCATTATAAAAATGAGCTTTACATGGAAAAGCCTGAAAGCATGAGTTCTTTAATACTAGGTAGTACACTCTTCAAAACTTCCTGCTTTTTCAGAGCCTTTTCATAAATACATTGAAAAAAATGTACTAGCTAAACTTGTGTACACATTTCCTTTAAACATCCATCTCAAGACTAAGAATGCAAATTCTCAATTTAGACAGTTTTCAAGAACTTGTTTCCCCTGTCTCTGAAATGCAGCAATTTCTGAGACGGAATATATGAGCCATCTCACAGCACACATTGTAGCAAACCATTGTAGCACCAGTGGTTAGTACATAACCAGTGGTTTGTGACTATTGCACGTGATTGATAATCAGTTCCATTTAAAATCAAAGTAAGGCTGGCCACCTACTAAAGCACAAATCACATTTTCCTGGATTTCTATTGGAAGCTTTTCCTATGTCTGCTACTAAACATGGCTTAACTCTGCTCTATAAGATCTGGTGAGATCAGCAGCCTGGTTTAACTTGGCTATTTATAAAAACCCATAAGGAAAATGAACAGTGGATTTGGCTCAATACAACAGGTACCTCTGCAATGCTGGGTCAGCTTCATTACCACAACCTGTCTTGGCCGTTTCTCACACTTGTTGACTGCTCAGTGCGGGTCAAGAAACTTTGGGCACCTATGTACATGCCAGACATCTGCTCCGACACATGCTAATTAGAATGGATCAGAGAAGACTCAATTAATTGATTAATTGAGTCTGCTGGAATGTGCTAATTAACATGCTCCAGCAGCCTCCGTTTTAATTTAAGTGCCTCCCCCTCCCACCACGGAGCACATGTAAGGATGCCCCCTTTGATACCAGGTTTCAGTATTTGCAAAAAAATGACAGCTTCTTCATGGGTTTTTGAAGGAATGGAGGATCCCTTGTATTTTTGTGCTGTGGTGTGACAATAAATAAGGATGAGCATTAAGTGGAGGCAGAGGAGGCTGCATTTATGTATTTTCTAGGGTTAACTAAAAGCACCAACTCAGACCTCTGAGTGCCTGTGCAATTCTACAAAACACCAAACAACTGAATGTTCAAAAAAAATATCTCCCCATTCACACTTACTACATATAGTCTATTAGGCCCAGTCCACTAGGAAAAGGTAAGGAAAAGTGAAAGGCAAGACTGGAAGTGAAAACAATAAAAACATCCGGACAATCACAATGGGCCTTGGACTATGTACCAATATCAACAACCATCCCTGAAAATACCTCACCAATATCTGTTTTCATTTAACTCTGCACTTAAACAAATGTCAGTGTTAACTTCTGTATACTCCCAACTTCAGAAAAATATCAACCTGCTTAACATTGACTTCACAGTCTAATTTTAGGTCCCCAACTATTAAAAATAGTGAGCTTAATCTATACTCTTTAATTGCTTTTGAAATGATGTCAACAGTGAGGGTGACTATCTTTTGTAGGGTTGAGTCCTGACTATTCAAACGTACTCTAACACTGGAGTCTCATTCACACAAAAAAATTCTCTCTCTAACAAAAGACTCATCTTGCTAGAATCATTTTGCTTCATCACTGAAAACATCATATGTGAATGTAGAGTTTGGTACTGGATAAGCTGAAGAAAAAAGCTGTATGTTTTTGATTTTACAGGTACATTTATATATTTTAAAATTATACCTGTACAAATATCCTACAGAAAATATATTATTAATAGAGAAACAATATCCTCATCTTGTTACATTTCATTTGCTTGCTCATTTGGGGATAAACCTATGTTTTTAAAACTTCTTCATAATATAAGTTTCAAAAGCAGGTCTTATTTTGTCTGAGAAGACCTTGTATTCTGAAAGTATAACCTGATTAATAATTTACAATTCTAAGATGTATTTGGGTAAAGTCTGCAGTATAGCAATGATTTGGAAGAGAGTCCATGTGAGAAAAACTATAATCACTGTACATTTGCACATGACCAAACCTGGGAAAAAATGTAAAAGTCACTAGTATAATAACAGATTATTAGTTCTTGGTGTCTACCTGCTGAAGTAGAGTTTCCACTGAAGACCCAGCAGCTGCTCTCATCTTTTCCTCTGCCACATTCCTGTTGGTAAGTTTTATCATTAAATGCAACAAAGTCTAGAGTGATCCAAATCCTGACATACCCTCCCTGGTATCATCATTGGTCTAGGGCTGTCAGAGGATACACCCATGACTGCTCTATTTAATAGCTCACAATGGACCCCTCTTCCATGAATTTGCCTAATCCCTTTTTGAACCTGCTTCTACAATTTCCTGTAGTAACAGGTCCCACAAGATAACTATGTGATGTGTAAAAAAGTACTTCACTTTGTTGTTGTTTTTAAATTGTGTTTTATTGTAGTTTCCTTTATAAAATGCATCTTTATTCAACAGGATGCACAGCAAATCCAAAAGTGGACCACTTATAAAGCTGACCCATTGTTGAAAATCTCCATTATTAACGTTGTTTGGGGTAGTTACTTCTTGCTTACTCAGATTTTCACCTCAGGGCCTGTACTGAAGCCTTTTTCCTTATTCCTACCTTTTTGCCCAAATTAACCTTGCTTTCTCCAGCCTCTTCCCTATTAGTTGCATCAGACTGTCCATTTTTCAACTAAAATAAGTTCCTATTTCCTTTCACTACCTTTTGCACATCTTCCTGTCTCAGTCACTTTGAATTTCTTTTTTCTGAGCAGTTTTTTAGTGTTTTTCTTCCTTTCCAAAGAAGTATTATGAGAAAATGCCTCAGGGCTTACGTATATGGGTCTTCAGGAACAAGTCCATATAAATTCACATCTGCACTGTTGTTCTTCTACATTAGCTAAGTTGGCATTAAGGGGTTTGGGGCTTTCTTTTACAGAGTTGCCTCCGCAGCAGGTTCTATGTCATCCCCTGCAGAAACTCTCACACTATAGCAGGATCTACACTAAGTCAGTAAAAGATGTGCACTGGGCAGCAATGGCCAAAGGGCTCCTACACTCAGCTGTTTGTGAGGCAACTCATGCAAATTTGCATTAATAAAAGTACCTTTTCACTTTACCAAATAAAAGCAAACTCAAGGTTCCTTTATACCACTTATACAGGCTGCACTAGATCAGGAGATCTAGGTGCATTTGCATCCTATAAAAGAGGTGGCAATCAGTCTCCAATCATTCTGTTCTCCAAAGATGCAGAACAAAATCCCCATTTAGAAGAAACTTAACTTGAGACAAGATCCAGCTAAGAAATTTTTTTTCCAAACCTCTTCACAAAGTAATAAACCTGTCAGAGAAACACAACTATACCAACAGAGTAGAAATAGTTTAAAGAAGCCAGTCATTACATTATTAACATTTATTACAGAAGAGAGTCAATTACCCAAACTAATGGTAAAAACAGTTCATAAAATCAAATTGTTTTTGATTACCTGCTTTAAACAAGCAATTGTATATACAATATATACATTATTTTAAATTTTATTTCAGTCTTTTTCTCGATCATTAAAACACCTATATTAAGTTGCTATTGCTCTCACTTGTCCTACAAATAATACAGGCCTGTCCTGTATTAACAGTTAAGATAACATGTATTTGGAAAACTGGTTCTCTCCTGCATATAGGACACTTGTAGCTAAGGTATCCAGTAACAGGCTTTTTTCTTCTTTAAATTTGCATCTGCTGTCAAACAAACAAAATGCAAAAGTTGAGTGTACTTAGAAAATACATCAGATTATTAGTGAAGAGTGAATGTTTCCCTTCCATTTCCTTTACTACAGTAATTACAGAATAGAGAACAAGGTTGCTGCTTCTCTCATCACATGGACTACTCCCGATTTCTTTCTGTAGTAAGTGTCTCAAGACAAGGAAATCCAAAAAGACTTACACATGAGTACAACATATATCCCTGCTTCCTAACAGATGTAATTCATATGCCATTGACTTCCTTTCCATTGTCAGCAAGACCCACTCAAACGCTGGAAGTAATATTTAAAAGTTTTGAGGCTATTAGTGTTAGGGTATCATTTGAGACACTTTTACAGTTTTGATATGATGCAGTTATCTAATAAGTAACATTTTCTTCTCAAATTTTGTGTAAGTTCACATTCCAGCCAATTAAGTTCATGACAGGAAATGAAAACTCGTTATTTTACAACTTTCTATCCATAATAAGAGTCATCTGCAGCTGCCTGATATAAGGTGTTTTGTGGGTAATGTCTTTAAATTTCCAAAACATGGCTGATTGTTGAACACCAAATAAATAATTGGAAGCTATTGCATTGTTACATGTTGAGTACAGATAAGTAATAAGAACGGGGGAAAGTATTTTTATGCCATACAAATAGAATTATTAATTAATAAATTAACACCTGTTTAACAAATTGTTGGGGTATGTTGAGAGCTGAGGAAGTTAAGGAGCATGCAAGTCCAAAGAGGTACCTGCAGCTCAGTTTAAGAAGTTTGTGATTTATTATTCTGAACAGAGAATACCTTTAATTATTGACTTGCCAACCACCACTGCCATTTAACTAGGCCACATCATGTTACTTGGGACAGCAATAAACCCAAAACTTCTCATTTGTCAAGTTAACCATTACACAGAGTTGTCCTCTATAACCTTAAAAAAGTAATGATTGTCTTTCTAAGAAAGGAACAGAAGCAGAGTCTAAACAACAAAGCCACTTCCAGATATGGAGAACTTTAAATCCAGTTCCAAATGTCAAGAGATGCAGACAGCAGTGACAATTTCCGCCTGATCTAGCCCCTGGAAGTGCTCCACAGCCAAGACCAAAGACAAGTACACAGCTGCAGAGTACCTTAAAAGGGCCCTATCCGACAACAATCTGAACCCTCATGTAATGAGGGTCCAGATGAAGGTGCTTAAAAGTGGAGTCTTCATTAACTTGTGTCTATGCATGCCAGGAGCAGGACTCAGCTGATGTAGCCCAGCACAATCTCAGAGCTGTTTTCAGAGTGGGGGTGGGGGGAAGGGAGCAGAGGGAGCTCATTCTGGGGGTTGCCCAATGCCCAGCCAAAGCTGGAGGGTGGGGCAGGTGGATTGGAGTCTCCCTCCTCCTCCCCCGCCCCCAGGTGGGGGGCTCCAATCTACCTTCACCAACTCCTGCATAGCTGGGAAAACGCTAAAACGGACCTCTCTCCCTTGCCTTCTACCTCTCCCATTCTGGGACAGACAAGGAAAGAGGGGGTGTGGAGCTAGGGGAAGAGGCTACAGAAACACAGCCTCTCTCCCTAGATTGGCTCTAAGTGGGAACTCGATCCCCAAACCTCCTGATCCAACAGCTAATATTTGTTGGGTTGGGAGGATTAGTCTAACTCAGACCCGGGAGCTGAACTTCTGTCTGTGCTTAAGGCCTCGCTTATTTTAGTGATTTATATCTAATGTTTTGTGTACATTCAAGTCACAGTTGACAGTTTACCAAAACTATTGTATTAGCATTTTTACAACTGCTCACAAAAGCACCCCGTTCTCAAAAACTGGCAAACTCTCTTTAAAGGATAAATACTGAGTTATCAGGCAAAAGAGAACAACAGTAAAACAAAGCATGTGGATCCAGGATTTATTTTCATATTTGCTTCTATTAGTGTGTTTCCTATAACTGTGGCAAAAAAAATACAGCGTTTATTTTATTTCATATGGAAAAGCCTGCCGATTTCTTCCTTATACTCACTATAGATGATGTGGCAAAGAAAATTCCTTCAGCAATCATGCTGTCGGGGGACATGCCAAATCCTAACTCTTTCCCATTTAAAACAGCAAGTTTTACCATTGATGATGGAACCACTATTGAAATTGGGGAGGACTTAATGAAGAGAGCCCTGCAGTACTCAGAGACATCACGGTAATTATCAGAAGCCATATGACACTTTTTCTGTTCTTTCTAAATTAATTTAACATCAAGGTCCAAGATGGATGAAAATAAGCCAATTGTTTTAATAATTCTTTACTTTCAGAGGCTTAAGTGCTTATATTTTAGTTGTGTAAAATATAAAATAAACTAGTTTTTTGCTCAAATATTCATTACTCAACAAGGAAAACAGAACTGTATGGAAGCCAGCTGTATGGAAACTATCGAAGCTTATTTATTTAATGTAACTGATTGACTAAAACTAAATTTCTGTCCTATATTTCAACGTTTCATAGTTAGTAGGGTAGGAAGGGACCTGAGCAGATCATCAAGTCCGACCCCCTGCCATGGCAGGAAAGAGTACTGGGGTCAAACGACCCTAGCAAGGTGATTGTCAAGCCTTGTCTTAAAGACCCCCAGGGTAGGAGCCAGCATCACTTCGCTTGCAAGTTGGTTCCAGATCCTAGCCGCCCTGACCGTGAAGTAGTACCTCCTGATGTCTAATCTGAATTTACCCTCTGCCAGCTTGTGACCGTTATTTCTAGTAACTCCTGGTAGTGCTCAGGGGAACAGGGACTCCCCCAATGCCTGCTGGTCCCTTCTGACTAGTTTGTAACAGGCCACTATATCCCCCCTCAGCCTTCTCTTGTGGAGGCTGAACAGGTTCAGGTCCCATAGCCTCTCCTTGTAGGGCCTGCCCTGCTGCCCCCTGATCATGTGAGTGGCCTCCTCTGGACCCTCTCCATGTTGTCCACATCGCTTTTGAAGTGCGGCACCCAGAACTGGACGCAGTACTCCAGCTGCAGCCTGACAAGTGCTGCACAGAGGGGGAGCATCACCTCCCTGGACCTGCTTGAGATGCATCTATGGATGCATGAGAAGGTGCGGTTGGCCTTCCTGACTGCATCCCCACACTGCCTGCCCATATTCATCTTGGCATCAGTGATGACTCCAAGATCCTTTTCTGCCAATTCTGAATGGACTAAATGTTTCTATTGGCCCTATGACTGATCTGCTTCAGTTTCTGCCTCCAGACATACATCTGTGATATTCCAGATAGTTTACCAGTGCTTGACATCAATAACTTGCCCGAGTTAAATATGAGGCAAACCCTAACTTCTGCATGCAGTCTCATTTAGGCCAATGCTGGGGCTATTTATATAAACAAGAACTAATCACTTCAGTAATAGTTTTCAGCACCAATCTTTATCCAGTGACGTTAGGACTTGGGCTACAGTCCTTTGTAATATAAACAACAATCACAAACAAGGTCTTCTATGTTGGAGCTGCCTGAAAATACTACAATGTAATCAGCTCTGTCATTTATAAAGTGCTAAGGACACAAATGGAGAATAAACAAATGACATTTGTATTTCAGAATTCCCGAGCTGTTGTCCTGGCTAAAGGATTTACAGAAGAGTCTTCATAATCCTCCCACAGCCAACTATAGTCCAGATCAGGGACAGATGGAGATATGTGTCACCACTGCTAGCCAGGAAGGCTTGTGTAAAGTGAGACTAAAAGCAAAATCAAGCAATGCTGCAGCCATGCTGCAGAAACCACACAGATATTATAGCTACAACATTTAGTAATATATTACATTACATTATATTATAGTATTATGTATAATATTATTTTGCATTATGCTATATATAATACATTATATACTATAGTATATACTATAATATATAATTATTTTAGTGCATATGACATATTATAGTATATAATACATAGTAGTATAGTATAAGTATAGTATAGTATATAATGTATCATACATACTAATATATGATATATAGTATATTGTATATGAACATTGCATAGATTGCATTATACCTGATATTATATTATCATTATATTATTATACATAGTTATTATATTATGGTATTATTATAGCTAGAGTGTTTTCGTTTTATGGCTACAAGGTTTAGTTTTGTTATAAATTCTATTTACTCCACTGTGGCCACATCTACATGTGCCCCTATGGTGCCATTGTTACTGCACCATCATTTAGTACTTCCTTTTGGAAGTACTAAATGACGGCACAGTAACACCCCAAACTGTCCACACGGCGCATAGTTATTTTTAACTGCTATTTCACCATAGCGATGTGCTGTGCTGAGGGAGCACATCACTACAGCAATGTAGCTGTGGCATTATGGTTTTTGCCCGCCAACACTGTCACTGTAGCGCATTGCTACAATGATGTAGCTTCACGTGTAGACGTGCCTTGCAAGTAATGTGATTTTTCTCTAATCCAGAAATGCTAATGAATACAGATCTATCTACCTACTACTTGTAGTAGATTGAATAGAAAGGATGTTCAATCTGTTACATCTATTTTTAATGCTATAAACACTTTAAGGTTTCAGTTTAGAGGCCATCATGGTAAATTTCATTTGAAAAACAGCTACACGCGTATCTTTTATAGAATGAAGTGTTGTACATTCAGGATGAAATCTTTACCCTACTTAATTCAAATACAAAACTCCTACTAGCACAAGAATGAAATTTTATTTCCTCATATTACTAGCCGGATTAAAATAATACATTTTCTGCACAAGTCATCAGTGGGTGTGTCTATACATGTATTAATGTGCTTTTCCTAATGCACATTAACTTTACTACCTCCAAGATGAGGTGCTGAAGTAACGCACATTAGGCTGCCCTAATGTGCAGGAAATCAAGTGCATACGTTTTAGGTGATGCTTAATGCGCAGTAGCCTATTCTACTAAACATTAGCATGTTAGCATGTTTTTTTACATGCTGCTTTAATGTGCAGTAGAATAGGCTACTGTGCATTAAAGCGCACATGTAGATGCACCCAGTGAGGACTATTTGCTGGAGTAAGATGAGTTAGACAAGCAAGACAGACAAGAAAGGGTTTCTGTTGTTTGACTACTTTTTATTCTGAGGTTATTCTCCATGATAAACATGACGGAAAACACTGAACTGTAATCCATATAAACAGTCCGGTCAGATTGTGTAGCAGTGCGCAGAATGTAACAGAGAGGAAGTTACTGTGTGAAAGAAAGCATTCTGGTTTGCAGGTGTTCGATATGCTCATCGGCCCAGGAGATACTGTCCTTTTAGATGACCCCAATTACACTGGGACTCTGGCAGCTGTGAGTATGGTTTAGGTATGAAAAGCAAGGCACATTCCCCCCTGCCCCAACAATACCCAGCAGGGAAGGGGAGACGGCAGGGAAGAGGGCAGGAAGGGGAGCAGGATAGGAAAGGGTGGGTTTTCCAGTGGCAGGGCCCCTCCCCAGCCACTGTGGCCACACTGACCCCTCCCCCACTGCCACCACCACCCAGCTCCAACAACAGCCAGCAGGAAGGGGGAAGGGGAGGCAGCGGGGAGCGAGAGAGGAGAGGGGTAGGGGAGATGTTGCGTGGGGCTGGAGGCAGAGCGGGCAGCACAGGACACTGGGTGTTGACGGCTGCCAGGTGCAAGCTTCCCTCCCCCCAGTTCCTGGGAGCCAGCGGAAGTGCGGGGCACTTGAGTAAGAGCTAGCAGTATTCGATACCTTGACTTTCATCGCTCCTCCTCTACCAGCTATTCCAAATTCAGGCAGAGGTAGCACTTATCTGTTGCACATTTTTTTCACCTTTTTTGACAACTTAACAACAACCTCAGCAAAGCTGAGACAGAATAATACCCCAAATAAATGGAGTGTGACAATCAGATGTGCTGAAATGCTACTACAAAAGAACTGCTGTGAGAGTTGGAATCAGGTGCCTTCTACAGAGGACCAGAGGCAGGCCAGGAGCTGTGCTGTGGAGCAAGGCAGGCAGCAGCTCTGGGGGAGGGCACAGCCCCCAACATTCACCTGACCCCCATAGAGCACCCCTCCCACTGCTGCCACCCCCGCGAGAGGGGGCACGGGGCCCTTGGCCTGACCTGGCCCAGCCCAGGCACGTGCATGGCTGCAGGGACACAGCTAGGCAGCAGCTCCCACTCAGGCAGGGCAACGGGCTGGAAGTGGGGGGAAGGGGATGCCACAGTGTGATGGAGAGTGGGGGGAGGGGGAAGTCCTGGGAGAAGAAGGGATATGGCTGGTGTGTGTGTGTACGCATGCACATGCACATGTCTGTCTCTGCGTGTGAGTGCATGTGTGCTCCTGTGTGCCTCTGTGTGTGCATCTGCATCTGTGTGTCTGTGTGTACATGTCAGGGCATCTGTATTCATCTGCTTGTGTGTGTGCATGTCTGTGTGTGCATGTGTGTGTGTGCATGCGTCCATCTGTGTTCATGGCAGGGAGAGTACGTTTGTGTTTGTGTGTCCATGTGCAGAGTGAGTGAGTAGAGTGTATGCCCATCTGTGTGTCTGCATGCATGTCTGTGTGCGCGTGTCTGTGTTCACAGCAGGAGGGAATGTGTTCATGTGCAGAGTGAGTGAGTATGCACCCGTCTGCGTATGTGCATGTCTGTGTGTGCATGCATAGGTGACTAGTGCTGCCTTAGTCAGGGAGGGCACATGCCCCCCCCTACAACCAATCCTGCTGACCAGGGAGCAGGTTCCCTCTGCAACTGATCACTGCAGCTGTTTCCGGGAGTGGCTGAGACCGCTTCTGGAAGCAGCTGCAGCGATTGGCCGGCACTTGTAAGGGGGCATCAGCACTCCTGCCTGCCCCCCTGCCCATCGCCTAAGTGGCAAGTGCAGCCAGACAGGGGGTGTACCCCCTATGTGTCGCCACTGTGTGCATGCATGTGTGTCTGTGTTCATGGCAGAAGGAGAGTGTGTTTGTCTCTGTGTGTCCATGTGCAGAGAAGGAGTGAATAGTGTACTTCTGTACTTCTATCTGTGTGTGTACATGCATGTGTTAGTGCATGTGGGCGTGCATGCGTCTGTGTTCATGGCAGGGAGAGTGTGTTTGTGTCTGTATCCATGTGCAGAGCAAGTGAGTAGAGTGCGTGCCCGTCTGTGTGTGCACGTGCGTGTCTGTGTGTGTGTGCATGTATCAGTGCATGTGCATGCACTTGTGCACATGCATGTGTCTGTTCATGGCAGGAGGGAGAATGTGGTTGTGTCTGTCTCCATGTGCAGAGAGTGAATAGAGTGCACGCCCATCAGCGCATGTGCGTGTGCGTGTGTGTGTGTGTGTGTGTGTCTCTGTATGCATGCATGTGTCAGTGCATGTGCATGCGTGAATGTGTGCGTGTGTGCCTGTGTTCCTGGCAGGAAGAGTATGTTTGCATCTGTGTGTCCATGTGTAGAGAGTGAGAGTAGCGTGTGCCCATCTGAGCGCACGCTTGTGTGTGTGCGCCTGTGTGTATATGTTTGGCCATAGCGAGATGTGGGGGCAGGGAGCAGGGACAAAAGGCAGGCATGTGCCCCCCACCCCCAACTTGGCACAGTCCCCCCAGCCTTCCCCTCCAGCACCAGGAGGGGAAGGGGCCCTACCTCCCCCCCGCCCACAACCCACCCCCCATTGTCTCCAATTTTGTGTTTGCCCAGGGCCCCAGTACACATTAATCCACCTCTGGGCATGGGGCTGGATGTGGAGCAAGAGAGAGGGGGCACAGGCCCAGATGCAGAGTGGCAGGGGGGGGTTGCATAACTCGCTCAAGATAAATTCTGACAGGGGTTATGTCAATTCCCA